TTGAACGACGGAATTATCTTCTGCGGCAAGGTTAGTCGTCTGTTGTACTAATTTAGAAGAATAAAACCATCTAACTGGTAACCAGGAAAAAGATAGAGCTCCCCTAACACCAATTTTTTTGCCTAGGGATCCAACTCCCGTACCATTTCTCCCATCGTCTCCCTGTCTGGAAATGGAAATATTACCGAATCCCGAAACGCCACCAATGGCGGAAGAGCTGGATATAGAAAAGATTGAAGGTATCCTTGTACCTACTTGCGACCAAATCGTGACTGATTTTCTTTCAGGCCCTGATGACGTTGGAAATCTAGAGCCACGAGCGGGTGGATCTAACAAACCATCACCTAATTTTGAAGATCCGACATCATCGCCCAATGTCCAGAAGAGAATACTAGATTTGAAAGTTGAGCCTCCTATTACCCCGCCGGTATCAACTAAGAAGCGGCCAGCTGAGGATGACGAGAATATCCTAAAATACATGGCCCGAACCGGCATCGTCCCTGAAATTACTTCACAAGATGCCATGGAAATTGAATCTGTCGACCTCGTCGAAGACGATCTGGCGGAAGTCGTTAATGCAGCAAAGAGAAAAGCGGAGGACGAACTTAATGCAGAACGCATCAGGGGCATTAGTACAATGACGCGATGCAAGGTGCCCCTTCTTAGGCCACCGATCATAATCCCGCCGTGGCCAGGAGTGGCCGACCTCTCGGAGTCTGAGTTGAAAGGTCTGTATAGGTCCTTTATTTCCGAAATTAAAACGGAAGCCTTAGCTGGGTTACGCTATTCCATTGGTGCTGCTGATAGGAAAAATGATCTCAAATGGCAGCCATTTGAAATGGAAGTACGGACACTGGAGATCAGTGAAAACATGACTCCTGAGGATTCCTCGAGTGGGCTTCTCCGTGAGATTGGTCGTCATATAAGCGGTTCGAAAATTGAACACGAAACTCCTCAGGTAGTTTGTCATAATGAGTTTCGCCTTTCAAGTTTGGATGACGATGAAGAACTTTCGCCGCGAACGGTCTATGGAGAGGTAGGGTCGGTTCCTCCACTACAAAGAAAGGGATGTGAGCATGGTGCTGGAAAGGATGAAGGGAAAGGTGTTAGCTGGGGATACTCGCCTCCAGACAAGAAACAAGGGATTAAAAATATAGCAGCAAATCCCAAGGCTACGAATCTTGGAGCTAAGGTCAAATCTGCGGAAGCCACACTCGTTGGCTCAGGCATGTCGTCCATGTTTTCCCCCTTGGACTCACTTTCCAACTTTATGGAGGTACGTGGTCAAAGGACTACGGCTTCTAGCTCGGATAGATATCCATACTTCGTCCGCCCAGAACTACCTGATCCACCGGCTTTGGCACAGAGTGACCGGCATCCTAAGATTAGCACGCAAATTCCAGAGAGGGCAACTGAGTCAAATGTTACAACCATATCACTCCCGCTGTTGGCACCTCCCAGCACCACCCGGCCACAAGGTGTCCTGACATTTGTTTTATCTACCTCCCTTCTACGGACACATCGTGCTGTAATCTATAATCTTGAATCTCTATCCCCAGCATGCAATCTGATTTTCCGTGATGACAATACTTTACCAAACTTGTATCCGGCTGGTACCAGGGCTGAGAGTTTCCACCAGACGCGATTGATACGAATTCAGAAATTTCCCAATAGTCCAGAGAATAACCAAGGACGGGAAGCGGATATATCATTTTCCCCTACCGCAGGTGCTATCCTAACCACAACTCAAGAAATAACCCAGAAATACCTGCCGGGCCAGCAACCAAGCGGCCAGGGAATCGCACAAGAACTGAACTATCCAGTTCGTCGGCGCATTTCCGATATTTGTCTTCTGTACGAGGAATTATATGTGTTCATTTGCATCCCTATCATTACTCCAAATAAGAGTAGCTCGATAGTGCCGCATGCGGATATGGAATTGGACAACAGAGCAGTTCAAGCTATCGAATCACTGAGGACCTTTTGCGAATCACTCGGCTATTTTTCAAGAATAAACGTCCTTCCCGTCATGAACGGTGCGAACAACATAACAAACTGGCTAGTTAGTCTTGCGAATAAACATTACACTATGACTCCATGGTCCACCTCCGATGTTGCCCATGAGCTTGTCCGGCCGGGAAACGTTCCTTTCCCGGCAGATCCCTCACCCAGCGAGGATTTCCTCCGGCAATCTGGTTTAAATACCTTTGCAGCACAAATGGTCCTATTACATCATTATAAGGATGGCGATGATGACGGTGTATTACACTCTTCCGGTGGTCATCCCACCCGAGGAGCTCAAAGTCCACAAGCTGCACTTTCCCGCTTCGTTTGTATGAACCCTTTTGACCGACAGCGTATCTTTACTCCAATTCTAGGGAAACGTGTGGTCGAACGTGTGGAACGAAGACTCGCTGTTGAGGAGGGGTGAATGAATATAGGGGCAGAATATTCTGGGCAGACCTACTTGCGGTAATATATATTACTAGAACTGCACTATGTTAAAGCTCTTTTATGTTGCCATTTTCTCCATATTTTGTTTGTTTTAAATAATTTACAGAAGGGTCTATGTCATTGTTATCCCATACCCATACTTAATTGTTGCAATTCTCATAATTCTTTTCGGGAGGGCTACATGTGACAATTCGCTGCGGAAGTGCTCGTGGTGAAGCTGGCATCCACAACTAGAAGATAGGGGTAAAATCTCACGGTGTTCAGAAACTCGCTCCTAAGAAAACAATGAGATTTCCTGCGTGTTTCGCAGTGTCAACCTAACATGGGACCCCGAACCTAAGACAAGAAAGGAAAAGCAGGGATTATAAGCGAGTAGGAAGAAAATTTAGAAACAAAAGCAATAAAGTAATAACAAGACCACATCGAAGGGTGACAATTGCAAAAAGGGTTTTCTATCAACCCGCCCGGGAATGCATCGAAATGGGAAGAAAGCAAACGAGGCGCGAGTGGACAATAGGATAAAATTTGCAGTTGATTTTGTTTCCCCTTAGTGCCCACCTCAGAATCCGCTGACAAGGATGAAACCTTCTATAGGCTCCTGTTCGGTTTTCTGTCCGCCCATCTGACACACGTCGCTGATTTACCAAATGATTGTTCGACACCTCCACACAGAGAGATTCTCTGTTCCCAACTGTCCCTTAAAGGACTTCCCTGCTTCGGACGGCTGGCTGGCCCTGGTGGAATGAACATCGTGGTGTCCCGTTTCGGCAGCGGATTGGCATCTGCTTCTGATCTTTGGTTGAGTTTCGGTGTAGAGGGGTATTCACGGTGCCTAGGTTCAGTCAAAGAAATACCGCCTCCGATTGTATCCGCCGCATCCTGCACCTCCTCCGACGGGGAATCTGAGGATTTGGTAACCTTCAGGTCTAGGATTTGCGAGGCCTTATTGTTACGCTCATCCGCTGCTTTCTCACGATATTGGAGACTCATAATCCTGGATACCGGCCCACTCCGTGAGAGGAGCTTATCCACAGTCCCTTCTTCCGGTGGAGCTGGCGGGGGAGGAACATTCACAGCAGGACCCAGACCGAACATCAATTGCCCTTGCTTGGGACCTGGTGATGGGTCTTTCGCATTTGGGTCATCCGTAAAGGCATTGACAGGTCCAGCGCGGACAGGCGGTGGAGGGGGCCGTTTTTCTGGCTTTAGGGGAAACCAATCCGGGTTCGGGTACGTGTCCTTTTCGCCAGATTGAAGGCGAGAGAGCGGCGTCTTTAGTATTGAATCCTCTTCTTTGCCGGCCGATGGGTTGATGCTTGGAGATGCTGGAATAAGCTGTGGAGGAGGGACGGCGGCAGCAAGCACAGTTCGGTCTGCTCCTTCTTCCTCGAAGTCGTTATCACGGGCTCTCATACGAAACTTCGTCGGTTGACAGCCTAATGTTCCGGAGTTGCATGATTTTCCCGAGCTTTGACCAAATGGGGGTTCCTTTGGCGGCATGAGTGGATTGCGACGAATGAGTATGGGATACCCATTGTCCTTTGCGTCTTCATCTTGCCATTGCACTTGTATGGCTTCTGGTATCTCAACTTTTCCTGAAGAATCGTCTGTGGCAATGGCGACAATGGGAGCGGTAGCATCTTGGATATCTCGACGGAAGCGAAGAGGTCCGATCGGTGAGAGATCTCCTTGATTAGCCCTAGTATCGGAAGTGATTGGAGAGCCGGGACTGGCCTGAACGGTTCTCAGAAGTGTCAGGGCCAAAATAGCCAACAGTTCTGTCCGAGGAATCATTTTCCAAGAGAGATATAACACCTTAAAAGTTCAATAGGATGCTTATTGCTCTGTTGGAAATGGAATGAACTCTAGGATGATTAGAATCAAACAACATGGGGACGTTTGTTCGATTTTATCTGTGGTGAGAAAGTTTAGGGGAAATGAAAATATATATATCACCATGTTATGATATGCCCAGAAACAATAGAGCCAGTAGGAACAAAGAAGATGGGTCAATTTCAGCGTAGTTCACCTTAAAATCTTGAGATGTAAGGCAAGCTCAATGTGAAACCTATAAACGGCATGCAATACTAGGATGCTTGTGAAATTAATATCTCAGAATATTACGCAAATAAACAAAGCTCTAAGACTGTGGCACAGTAATTGCTGTGAACAAATTAGCAAGAACAATACAAATGCAAGTAATATCCCCTGCAGAAAGCAGAGTGGAACAAAGACTGCATTCAGCATGTTTGACATGCCAATCCCTGGGATCGGATCAGCCAGTTAAATTTGTTGTACCTGCCATCCCTAAGTTCAAAGGTCTTTTGAGGGTATTGATATTATTCTGCTGCATTCTGATAGAAACCGTAAGCTGCAATTTCAACTGTAAACTGACGCCTGGAGCCTGGCGAGCAGATCATGCCCAAAGGAAGCTAGGGCTAGGAAACTTAATTTCAACTGCAAGCGTCTTCTGGCGGCAAGGCACTCTGGCGGCGCTTATGGCGCTTCATGCCCAAACCCAGTATCTGTATGGCAGCTGCATATACTTCCAGGTGGATTGGCCATTACATATCCCCCCATTCGTAATAATAGAACGGAAATGGCGGAGCTCGAGGACACCAGAAAAATCACGGGAATTTCTTCGGTTATAACTTACCCATTCGTCTAGGATAATTTGGGAGCGTATCGAAAAAGGTCATCCAACAATATACATCCGCGGCATCTAGCCTTTGTGTGCAGGACGCATCCCATGTTCCATAGAACAGTTCTTCCGCGCCGCACACACAGTATGTTATGGAAATGATTAATTCGAGAATATTTCTTGGAAAAATGTTTGTACTCCCCCCCGTTTTGTTTCCTGGACATATGAAAGGAGTACTGCGCCTCTATTCTATGGGCTGCATGGTTAGCTTAGCATGATAGAGACCATGTGCAGCGACTTTTGGAAGTTGGATCAGTCACGGAAAGCTGTTGATGAATTTCTCTGGCTCAGTTGTGCCATTCGTTACCGATTTCCGGAGTAAAGTAGGAGGCTCAAGTATGAATTGTCTCCTCAGTAATGGCCGAGTTGCACTCTCATATATTTTCCTAATTTCCAAAGTGATGATGGACAAAGTGGTAGCAAAAGAGGGGATGAGAGGAGATCGTGATGTTTAAATTATGCTTTAGTAAACAGATGTAAGGAAATACAATAACATATAAAACACTACTAATACGATGGGCTAGAACGTATTCAAACAGATAATTCACAAGTGGGAAAGGGAGGGTCGGTGGGTGCGGCGCAGCTCAAAAAGAAAGCCAGATAGAGCGATGTGCAGGTGATTAGTAACTGTGCTTTTAAGCACCAGTTATGGTGTGGTGTTTCGAGGGCGCTGCAACAACATCCGGCCTTTCGTCGCATAATCTGTTTCTGGCTCCCTTCCACTCCCATGATATATCTCTTGATATATAAGTTTCCCTCCTGTAATCGATCGGTTGTTTCCCGAATTTCATGATATTACATAATGTACAGGCTCAGATTCTCAAGAATGAATGGTTCATTCAACATGGTATTATGACTCGTTGATTTTTGCAAGAATCCTATAGACGTGTGTCTCACATTAGCAGCGATTTTGATGGGCAGATAGGTGCACGTATAACGTACTCAGAATCTCTGAAGAGGCAATACTCTTCATCGCCGATCTTAACGGGGCTGCCTCCATACTATAAGGAGAGAAGAGGGATTCATTAGTCATTGTACACCCACGGATTCGTAAATCCTTTATAGTTTCCATCCCAAGTGCCAAATCTACACAATTCCAGACCGCGCAACTATTCTACTCCGAACATTGATGGTTTGTGACATACCTGAGGAATCAGAACCTTGTCACCAACAGCCACACCCATTGAAATTCTGTTGCCCTTCTTGTCAAGAGCACCTGGTCCTACAGCCAAAACCTTGCCCTGGTTCAGTTCTTTGACGGAGCTCTCGGGAAGGAAGATGCCAGAAGCAGTTTTGGCCTCGGCCTTTATTCTTTGAACGAGGACACGGTCCAAGAGGGGAGCGAGGCTCTTAACGCTGCGGAGAGCCTGGTTGTCATTACGATTCCGTCAGCAATGCACAATAATTATGACGCGTGATAATGGGGACAAGGGGGTAGGTTCGGAGTAGAAATGGTGGCCCAGATTTTGAAATGGTTCGAATCCGGGGAATTGATAGCGTACCATTTTGAGGGCTGAGGTATAGTATGTAGCAGGGGAATAGAATTGAAATAGTTGTTAAAGAGGCGTAGAGGCGGTAAGGGAATCAACAAGGGGCCGTGGAGAAATATACAATGCAGGTGAAAGAAGGAGAGAATTGAGTCTCGCTGTTCAACTTTTTTTTCTGCTGAGAAATTTCCAGAACTAACGCCAAGACTTGCAGCAGGAAGCTCGAAGCCAAATATGGTATAGCGCACTCTCCTGCAAACAACGCAAACTTCCCCGGATTTTCATTAACGTTGCTTTAACACGGAATTTCTACCGCGGTATCAACTGCCAATAGACATTTAAGAATTGTTCAATGTCCATGGGGAAAATTCATTTTATATTTCATTGTATGGTCCATTTGGTTACGAAAACAACGCCTAGATAGCCCAAATCAAACAGGAGAATGCCTATATAAAGCAAGGACAATATCATCCAACCCAGGAAATATCAGCCTTCAAATAAAAAAGCATCAAGCAATTTAACTCTTGGTGGACCTTTGTTACCACCTTCGCCCACCCTTCCCTCTAACAAATCCACCACCCCTTTGCTCGTATCCGCCGTATCCCATCTGCGGCTGGCCTCCGCCTGGTACACCAAACGGTTGTCCGGGACCTGGTCCACCAAAACCTGGCTGGCCACCCGGCGGACCGCTAGGACCACCCGGGCCCGGACCCGGACCGGGCCCAGGCTGGCCTCCTCCCATCATTGCCTGTGCATGCTGCATGAAAGTCATCGGATCCATTGAGGCAGGATCCAGTCCCTGCGCCATCATGCTCGTAAACATTCCTTGCATCATTTCCTGCGACATGTCACCCATACCAGGAGACATTCCTGGTATTGCATTGGGAGGAGGACCGGTGGCTTGCGGTGGTCCTGGGCCCGGGCCTGGAGTACCTCCACCAGGCACTATATTTGGAGTCCCTGGACCTGGGCCTGGGTTTGGACCTGGTATTCCAGGTAGACCGCCACCTAGGAATGCGTGCATTTCCTCCATTTGTTTTTTCTGGTCAACGATGTCCTTTCGTAATGTCTGCTGTTTCAAACAGTAACTCGCCCAAGTAAATTCGTCAAAACCATAGTTGAAATAGTCGGTCATGTCTGATCCCGGCCTGCGCCATGGTTTGTCATTTTCTGTGGGGAAATCGGCATCTAAATCGGTGGAGAGAATAGGTTTGTTGGTAGTAGGGTGGACGGGGTTTGCGTTGATATCTATAGTTGATGTATGTTGAGCAGGGTAAGCTGAACCTGGTTTTTGAGGGGCTACTGGCTTCGCGGCTGTGGCGTGAGGGAGAGCGGGTGTTTCAACTTTTGGGGCGATAGATGGAGTAGAAGGTTTAGGTGCGCTTGTTGCTTCCACCGACGAAGGTCGTAGAGATTCGTTTCGAAGGATAGAATGTCGGGAAGGTTGCCTGTGTTTTTATTGTCAGCGCGTGCCATAAAACGTTAAACAGTTAATTCGAACTGAGTACTGACTCAATTACGGCGTCCGGAGGGGCCTCCGTTATGATTTTAAAGTCATCCTACTACACAGTTAGTGTTTCCGAACAACGAAAACTTCAGTTTGCTTGAGACTAACATCATCTTCCTCCTCCTCTTCCTCCTCCTCCTCTACCTCTTGTTCTTCCTCCTGTGCCTTGTTCTCTGCCTCGGCTAGCTTTGCTCCGCCAGAATGTGCGTCAGCGTCTTTGGATGCCTCAGTGGAAGGAGCAATATATGTGGGGTCGTAGAGTTCGTCATCGTCCTCCTCCATCATCGTCGCCATGAGGCCGGAGAGAGGAAACTTCAGGGAGATGCCGCGGCACGATTCTTGCGACTCAGGTCGGTATTTTAGCTTCGCCTGCAAATAGCTAAATTGGACATCAGACAAAAGACTAGTGTAATCGCGAAATGGAAAAAGACAAGCTTAATTTACCAAGTGAAGTGTTCAACGAATTGAAAATATAGGAATATATAAACGTATCAGAACACATAAAGTGGAGCAGCGATCAAGCTTGTGCACCATCTCCAACAGCCCCAATCGCAAGCAGAGCTGGCGGAGATAGCATATATATCACGTGATATGTATATTTCACTTTCGAACACAAAGTTCGCAACAACCAACTTCAGATTAGAGGGTCGAAAATCCGATGCTAGCTGGCGATAAGTTCTGTCTACATTTTCCTGTACAAGATGCCACCGTCTTCAGACCCTCAAAGTCGAACGTCGACTCCCCGTTCGTTTATGAATCAGACCGCCTCCGCCGAAGACCTGCTAAAGTCGCAAACTGTTGGCCTGGTTCACCTCTCTGACTTCCGGAAAAGGCGAGCTGAGGTTCTCGAACAGAAGGAAAGAGAGGCTCATGATAAATCTTTTGGGAGATTTGCTCAAGGGAACTCTAGGAGCGCGACACCTTCCGGTGGAGAAACAACGGATGGGTACGTTGATACTGCCCTGTGCAGCCAAGGCCGATTTACAATCTTTAGTGTAGCTAATAGGCAAAGAACAGTGCACTGACGCCCCAAAATGGGTCTGCGCGACAACCACCCAAGAAAAAGAAGAAGAAGAAGCTAGGACATCTCTCGAAAAGCAAATTATCATTTGGCGATGATGACGGGGAGGATGCTCTAGAGGCTTCTGGCACTCCATCTGCGGATGGTAGCGATAGGAACTCCCCATCGAAAACTCCCGCAGAAGACAACCCAAATCCCCCCGCACGACGCATCGCGCCCAATCCTAACCTATCTGCTCCTCCCCCCAAAGTTATCACAAAGTCTGCTCTGGAGGCCGAAGCGCAAACCCGAGACGCCCTCCGACGTGAATTCTTAGCTCTGCAGGAGAAGGTTAAAGCGACTGAGATATTGATCCCGTTTGTGTTTTACGACGGGACGAATATTCCTGCTGGGACAGTGAAATTGAAGAAAGGCGATCCGATATGGGTCTTTCTTGAACGGTGTCGGAAAGTAGGCGCAGAATTGGGCATTGGCGGTGCTGGCGGGGGTGGGAGGAGTGGAAGAGGTCGTAGGGACAATCGTAGGGAATGGGCAAGGGTTGGTGTAGATGATTTGATGTGCGTTAGAGGGAACGTAATCATTCCACACGTATGTCCACAATACCCATCCTGCTTTCTTGTGTCTTCCATCTGGTGCCTTCCACTTAATCGCATGACGCCTTCGCTGACTCACTATTCCCAGCATTATGAGCTTTATTATTTTATTGCGAACCGAGTCCCAAGTTTCACCAATGCGGGAGGGCTGCTCTTCGACTACTCAAATACGGCGCCGCCGCAGTCGAGCGATGATCCAGAATCAGAACCCACCCTTGAAGGTGCGGATATGGAACCAGCCTTGACGAAAGTAGTGGACCGCAGATGGTTTGAAAGAAACAAGCACATCTTCCCCGCTAGCCTCTGGAGAGAATACGAGCCGGGAGAGGAATTTGTGGAAAAGATGGGAAGTATTAGGAGGGATAACAAAGGAAATGCTTTCTTTTTCTAAGCTATTACTATTCCCGGCGTTTTAACAGGCGGTTGGATATATCTGTATGAGCACGGGCGTTCGATGGTTCTGATAAACGGATTGGCGTATTCCAATTCATATATTTTTTTATTGTCCGTTTCATCCCAGCATCACATCTATTTCGGGCACGAATAATTTCTTTCTCGCCATGCTAATAGAGTCCTGTCGCCCCTGAAATCTATATATGCGGCTCAGCGCAGCTCAACCTTGGAAGCATGATAGTTTCCTAATCCGGTAATCCACCTCCATCTCCCGACTTCAATGTTTCTTCAACACCCACTTCACTTCATCGATTTTAGATATACAAAGCTCAGTGTTTTTCATAGGTTGAGCGGGTCTTTGGGGGTGTCATAGCCTCATGGTTCTGTTTGGTTTCTGTCATGGCTCAAGCATTGGACTTTTGTCTCCGATGCAACTCTCTAAAGTGCAGAGTAACCCTAAGTGAAAGGGCAGTGGTCACTACGTGCTCGTTCGTACCCTCTTCCTTGGATAAGATTTAAAGGGTATGCAATTAACCGTTTATCTGGTTAGACATATTTTCTGTCTGCAGTGTGCCGACCACCTTGGGCTCTCACGACCAACAACATCCGAGCGGCAATGCCCTGCCTGCAATGCCAGTCTTGCCAACCCTGACGATGTAGTCTCCACTGTTCTCACCCCTAGCGAAGATTACAAAACCAGCGTGCTGAGTGGACTTGATCCCCATACCATTATGGAGTGCGCTGGGCGTGCTTTGGCGTTCTGGACATATCAGTCTGCCCAAGAAATGTATGCCTGACACATTGTATGTTGATAGCAGGCGGGATCTGACGTAAAACAGCTTTTATCAGGAATATCTCGGCAAAAGTTTGACCGAGAAATATGGTGCACTAAACCAACAGATGGACAAGGTTATTCATGACGCGAATTCAGAAATATCAAATCTCCAAAACCGCATATCAGGTATTTCCCCCTCTTTAACCAAGTCTTTCTTGAACAACCGCTAATGTATACTACGATCTATGTAGAGATGCAAATGAACCAGGAGCAGCTCCAGAAGAAGAACCACGAGTTAGTGGAGATATATCGAGAAAAATGCAAGAAGCATGCTCAAATATCGAACCTCTACAACCTTCTTAAAAGCCGGGCAATGAGGTCCCAGATCCAAACAGCAGCGTCAGATTCCGTGACCCAGGTTCTTGAGTCCTTAGGTGGCGCTCCCAAATCCCACTCGAGCACGGAGGACTTGTTCCGCCCCGTAACCTCCCTGGCGCCATCTCCTCGACGTAGTCCTGTGAGATATCCAGCAACAAACATAGGAATCGAACAGCTGCACCGTCATCAAAGAAGTGGGAGTGGAAGTGGTTCAAAAAATCGCGTAGATTCTGCGATGCCTCCTCCTAGTGGCCTACCGCCGTCTTTTCGAACTGGTAGGTGTAGATGTTTTGTCCACTTATATGGCGTAGCTTGTGCTAATATCTTCTAGCCACATTGCCACCAGTTACACCACAACATCGAACCAGGCTCCCTGGGCCTCTACCTTCGACCCAGAGGTCTGAATTCCCGGAGCGTCAACAGAACGGCTATACAACTCACAATCAGATTTTTCCAGTCCCGCAGCGTTTCGCGCCCGAAGGAGTTGATAGTAGATTTTCTCATAGTAGCTCTAGTAACTATGGCCTAAGCGCAGGGATAAAAATTGGCCGTCCATCTGATCACGCTGCCTCCAGTTCTAATCCGCCATCCAACCTTTTTGGGATTGGAAGCCATATGGGAAATGGTAACCCCCGATGATAAAACTAATATTTAAACATGAATACCTTCTCCTTACATCAGTACGTTTGATTGATAGTATGATGCATACATAGCTTTATCGGAGGAGGAAGAACTCACCACCCACCCTTTTTTTTTGTGCAGTTAACGTTTCAAGGGAAGCATAAAAAATATGGTTCTAGGAGGCTAGAGATATGATAATTTCATAACATTTATGGGAAATACTTCATTATATCCATTTGAGCTGCTTTCCCAATCGACCTTCCAAACCTCTATGCCTAACAAACGCCCCTTAACACTAGCATTTGGAGGCAGTGATCGCAATCGCGCCATTTCCGAACTGCCAACGTAGGTTGGGGATCCCCCTATCATAAACAACTAAAATATACAAAATGGGGCTTGCAAGGAAGAAAATTACCCACATAGCAAGCATACTGCGCTCAAAAAGGCAAATCTTGGTCCACTTCATTAAAATATATAATTATTTAATTATTTATTGTTATTCACCATCCATTCGTTATCCCGTGACCACCTATACCCAAGGGCCCCAAAACAAGTTCCTGGACCTCTTCTCGAACACCACCCACCCTGCCCGCAACACCAAGGATGGCCGTCTCCACATCCCCGAGTGTTGCGGCAAGCTCACTCGCTCTGGTCGCGGACGCATGGGATGGGGCTCCACCATCCCTGCTCCGAGAAGATAAGTCATTAATCTGCTGCGCAAGTGACGCCTCGACGCCGCGAAGGTACTCTTCGATCTCTTTCAGACTCTTCCTGTATTTTTGAACGACAACATCCATGTCATCGGCGCGCTGGGAGAAGTAATCGACCAGATTAGTCGGGCCGCCTGTGGCGCCTAGGCTGGAGTCCGCTTCCGCATCCTCAGGGAGGGCGAGCATGTGGCGCGCGCTGAGCCCGGAGCGTATAGAGCGGCCTGGTAGAGACTGGGATTGTTGGCTTGGTGCTAGCCATCTGTCTGCGGCTGTGGGTTGGTATTGGAGGGGCAGGAGGAGATTGTCAAGGGCGCGGAAGGCAAGCTTAGCCTCCCCGGCATCCCGTGTTACGAGGTTGCGGGCATTTTCAATGCCCCTGGCGTCGGTTTCTAGGGCTTCTTGGAGGGTGTCCAGTTTTCCCTGGACGAACTCCACATCGTTAGGCACCAGGGCGCCTTGTGAAGAGATAGTGGGGAGGATGTCGGAAACTTCGTTGCACATGCGGATTTGGTTGAGGATGAAGGTGTCAATGGTTTCGATTTCCTTTTTTAATTCATCTGTACAGCTTTCGAATTTGGTTGTAGGGACGAGGTTTGAGACGTCAATTTTGACGCCTTGCACTGTTGAGCCTCCTGGCCTCTGTTCTGCTTGTGTTGTCGTATTTCGGTTTCCGAATAACGAGAGCGATGGTCCTTGCTGTGGTTGTGGCTGCTGTTGCTGTTGGGGCTGACTAGCACCACTTATGAAAAAATATACAGGCTTTAGTAAATATACAAAACACACAGGAGCACGAGTGAAGGGCTACAACTACTCACAATAAACCTCCAGCAGACGTCGAGGTGGTGGCTGTGGCTTGCCCAAGTCCGCCAAAAAGCGATCCGCCGGATTGCGGTTGAGAAGTAGACGTAGCTGCACCAAAGAGAGAACCCCCTGTGGGCTTTTGCTGTGTAGCACCAAACAACCCTCCTGATTGTTGAGTTTGTTGTTGTTGCTGCTGCTGCTGGGTGCCAGCCCCAAAAAGCGATCCTCCACTTTGTAGTTGTGTACTTCCGAAGAGGTTCCCAGAAGCTGGCTGTGTTTGCTGAGAAGTTCCTCCAAATATGCTTCCTCCAGCTGGTTTCTGTTGCTGTTGGTTCTGTGCGCCTAGACCTGAAAAAAGTCCTCCCGACTGTGGTTGTTGCGTGGTGGTGGCAGCAGCGCCAAATAAACTACCGCCGGTGGTGGCTGCGGGTGCGGTCGATGTCGTATTTGCTCCGCTATTGAAAGAATTTGAAAGTAAGTTGCAAGCATTCTCAATTCACCAAGTTCTGTCCCCCCCTTCTGCCTCCTCTCGTTCCAATCGCGTGGTGCGATCCACCATCTGCGACATGGACAGAAACCTTCGTCCACGAACACACCTAAGGCGATAGTTCTAACCACCACAAACGGGTATGGATAGGTAACAAGAGTATCCGTAGGAACAGAAGGGGAGAAAAATAGTATAAGTCTTACTTACAACAAAGAGTTGGCAGAAGATGTATTGACGGTCAACCCTCCCAAGGAGGGTGCAGAAGTTCGCGCCGAGAACATGACCGACCAACTGGTAAATCAAACGGAGAATAGCTCACTAGAAAGGAAGAAAAGGAATGAGGCTGGTCCCTCTTAAAGAGCGATGTGATAAGGGCAAAGCAGAGGACCGAAGAGTTGCTGCATGCATAAACAGCGAGTGATGCGCCAGATGGAAGCTGTTTGTGTTCGCCAAAAAGCTGTCCCAGGCGCGGGAGGTGGAAAGTTTTCCCGAGGCGCGCGCTTGGGCCAAGGATCCAAGCGCACCAACCAACCTTAACAATATGCGAGGTCCGTATATAAATAGGTGAAGGTCTGTTTAATTCATGGCGGGACGGACAGGGATCGACAAAATCAAAGTTGTATTTGGGATGTTTAGATACATTTTCTGTTGGGATTGCATTTGGCCTGGAGTTGGCCTGCATTTCATCTACACTATCCTATCCTATCAGTGTCTGGCCCAATGCTGTCTCTATACAGGATTGTTGCCCTAGTATACTGACTGTAATCCGTGATTGAGTGGGAATATCCATCCCCTATTCCCTATTCTGTGCCCGTCAAGGAAAGGATCTGATCTCCTCTGGAACATCCAGCGTTTGCAAGCAATTCTGGCCACCATGAAGCAAACTAATCCCCCGTTCACCTTAACATGCGCAGCTTCAACTCGGAATTATGCCTTTTCGACGCCTGAAAAGTCATTAGGCAAGAAAAATGCCGTTGCGGGAGAAAACAGGGCGATATCCAACTACTTCAAAGAAGCTTCCTGGTACGAGGGGACTTTTTAAATCCTTTCTAGCCCTGAAGACTTGGCCAGACTGAAGCTAAATATTTTCTCGATAGGACACCAGATGGGACCAGTATAATTACGAATTCTGCTGATAACACTATCAGAACATTTGTGCTGTATGTGGTTTCCCCCGCTTGACGCTATGCGGATCTCATCTAACCGATCCCAAATGTATAGACCTGCCGATTTGATCGAACAGAGAAAGGAACCCCTTGAACTGGAACCGTATCATACAATTCCATCGGCAGAACCAATATATGCAATGGCTATTTACCCGTTCTACGGACTACAGGATGCATCTTCGACGCTGCTGCTCTCTTCTGTCAGAGACCACCCTATTCGATTGACTTCAGCTTTATATCCGGGATTCTCAGCATCGTATAGTCTTATATCACCCACAACAGAGGCCTTCATTACGCCCCATTGCATCCTCTATCCTCCTATCCTTAGCGGGACTCAGTTTCTGACAGGTTCGGACAGTTTGATATGCCTATTCGACGTGTCTCGTCCTGGAACGGACGGACCCGTGTCCAGACTCCAGACCATTCCAAGCAAACGGAAGAAGATCGTTGGTGGTGGTGTCGGGATGAAGGGTATCGTTTCCACCATGGCAATCAACCCATCAGGGGATGGGATTTTAGCAGCGGGTACTTTCACGAGATACATAGGCCTTTACGCGTCCAATGGATGCGGTGATACTATTGCCACATTCAGTGTCGAAGGTACGGCAGCAGATTCACGTGTTGGAGGTAAGGGCATTACGCAGGTGCTCTGGAGCCCATGTGGCCGATATTTATTCGTCATCGAGCGTAAAAGTAGTGGGATTCTCGTGTACGATATTCGAGTCACTGGCCAATTAGTGGGTTGGTTGGAGGGGAGGGGAGGAATGACAAACCAAAAACTCAAAGCGGATATTGTTCCTGGAGGGGAACGTAACGCTACGGAAATTTGGGCTGGTGGGACTGATGGAGCACTAAGAATGTGGTTGGATCCCGCAAGTGTTACTGGGGAAGGGAGAGAGCCGGAATGGGAGAAGCAAGTCCATGATGGTAAGTGGCGCATCCTCACACTAAGTCGAACGAGCTCGATGGACTGACAGCATACAATAGACCCTGTGACCAGTGCCGTTTTCCACCATACGGGTGGTGTTCTAGCCACCTGCTCTGGTCAAAAAAAGTATCCATCGTTCAACGACGACGAAACTATGGATATCAACGCCAGCAGCGACAATCGCCTAAAAATATGGGCACTTTAAGCACTTTGAAAGTTCAGCAGGCTCATCTTTTGGGCATGGACGCTTTTATATATATATAAACCCCCAACTGGCACTGTGTCATCACAGCCTATAAACTATGGGAAGTAGTCTTTTTTTTCAAGTTCAACCGTTGGCTGAAGACCGCACCCCATTAGAGGTGCCATATCAATCGCACATCAACTTCCTCCAGGCTCCAACGAGCTAAATTCGTTGGCACGCGGGCATGCAGCTTAGCACTTGTGATGATCTATAGGATCGTCTTACTCTACCCCGTTTCATTATCTCCCCTGGCGACCCATTATGGGAAGCGATGATTCGTGCTGCGTCCGGCCAAATGGCCAGAACTTCAGGCGCTCGAATATATATCGCCGATGATTCAGGCTTCGTGGGCGAAAGCGAACTCTATGAATGGATTTTAGGAAATAACCCTAACACGCTATTGAAGTGAAGAGGGATGAGCAAGCTGAAGAAAATCGTCAATGTTGCGAAAAGCCGTGACCACCTTGGTGCAGCAGATCAGATCTCTAAGTACATAAGCTACTAGACATTTGTGTGAATATTTACACCCTGGCTACTTGCTTCAAAACTCAAGAAGTCAGCTTTGATAGGAGGCATAAGAATCATGGAAAATAATATTATTCGAGGACAATTCACCAAGTCCAAAGTTGATAATTACCGTTTGTCTTCCCTGGGTAACCTGACGCGACATCTGCGAGTATTTTTTCCCCCGAAGATTATTTTCTTCTGCCGTGGGGACCGCATGGTTGACCGACAAGGAAATATCTGACTTTCTCCTAACCATGCAGTAGATAGCCTGGCACAAACCGCAGCCATTTTATTAATAGCCTGTCACATTCCCCCATAAAAGCAAAACATAATGTGAACACCGACGGCATGTCAAGTCTTTATAACTTAGGTGTGTTAAGGTAGTTTTTTGCGATTGGAAGAATTTTGACAACCATGTTTTATGGAAATACAATAGCGCAACATATAAAAGTAAAAGTAACAAATGACAATGGCCCATTCTCGTGAAACCGCTTTATTCTTCCTGGTCGTTTTTTCTTGAAGATCATTTGTTGTTCATTGTCGCGTTTCGACAAACAAAAATGAGTGGTTAACTAGTTACGGCTGCAAATGCGGGTGATGCTTGGCAGGGTGAGCTTAATTTGACCATCCTCAGCCTCAGCCAAAGGAAGACCCTCTGTCCCAAGTCAGCTTCAATGGATGGATGTAAGCTATCCAGTAACAACCTGTTCAATTTTGATTTCCTTCTAGAGTCCCTCTCAATTGCTTCATATTGTGCTGTATGAAGATTTCCCCCATGAAGCTGAGGTAGCGACTTTGCTTGCAAGTGCTCTATCGCAGCACCGTGGCTAACTTGGACGCCCGCTCAATGCCATCTTCAAGTAGTTAATCTTCGATTAGATCACTCACCTCTGCCTCCATCTATCCTGGAACTCCCAATTGTGAATTCCTGATTAATATACCCATGTTCCATGGACATCTTTGTGCTTCTACGTGGTTAAGGTAGCAAGAACATGCCCAGAAGCAAACATCTCGTTTCCTCCACGCTTACTATGGCTAGGCCAAATAGATGTACGTTATACGTTACATCTTCGCAATTAGCCATGCGCCCAGCTCTTCTTTAGGATCGCATGAGGGTGCAATTTATCTAGTTATGACTGGCTTGTAGCCTTGATCTCAGCTTTCGTTTCTTTTCTCTTCTCCATCATTTTCTACTACAGACTTCCTCTCTTGTGTGTTTCAACAACATGCCTCATCACCACTGCCTGGACGGGCGCTTGCTGTCGACATTGCTGAATCCAGTTTTACGTCTAGTTCTCTTTCCTCTACTTATATTTCCGTTTTACCCTAGTGCAGAGGTGATAGCGACTCTCCACCATGATACGCCATCTCAAAGAGAATTCGCAGATTGCCCGGTGTTCTACAAACCCAGCCCGTCAGCTTAAGCAGCAGTCATGTAATATAAAAGCAATATAACAGAGGACGTGGAGAATTACCAGTACAATCCCCTAGGATCTTACCAGAAGCACCAGATACTCATCTATACGCGGATTTTCCGTTGACAACAGGGTTTCTAGCGAAGGATTTGCGGATGCAAGGAACTATTTATTGTTTTTGTCACTATCCCAGCCTGAGGGGGAAAAAGGAAAGAGAGAAAAAGTTCCTGATGCGTTTGATCGATTGTAAGCGCAACAAACTTGCCCAGTGGGTTTTCCCGGCATTTGGGTGTGTAATGTCTTTAGTTGGCATACATGGTGTTTCTTGCGATTCTGCGGCGAAGCTTGGGCTTAGCGTGGAAGATTTGATGGCTTCCAGTATGTATAGCCTCCTCTTTTACAGCAATAACTCAATGGAATACTTCTGACGACTAGTATTTACCGGCAGATCGAGAGATTTCTACACCTTTTGTTCTTTACCTCGATTGATAATGATAACATTTCGCGATTAATTGACTTTCAAAAGGGGTAGCCTGCTATTCATCTTCGGTTCAAGCTGTCCCCCACAATGGACTTCTACCCCGCAGGCTGTCATATGGCGCTTCGTTCAATAGGACTCGAAAGGCGCTAAGGGGTTCGATATCAAAAAGAAATCCGTTTTTTGTACGGTTTCCTACCTACGCTACCATATAACCCGGCAGCCTCCTATTTCCAACGATGCGGTGGCTGGCACTACTCCTGCAGTGAATTTCACACCCAACGAGGTCGAATCTATGTGAATATAAGATGCCAGCCTCCCTATTTCGTATCTTCTCAACGCCCCCTCCATGCTCTTCGTTTCTTTCTTTTTACATCTTCTCGATAGCTTCGAATTTACCAATCTTCACAACCTTTTGCTTCCCTGCTCTTTACATCTACTTGACCTTACATCACTCGGATAGTCTATGAGAGTTCCTCGTCGTCTGGACATCTGATATTCGAACCCCATAAGGGCGATACAGGCTTCAGAATATATTCCTATTCTCTGCCGCTGAGCCCAACTCTTCCCAAAAGATTTCTACTCCCAGCTCCCATCGAGCCCCTTGCTGAGAGCTGCTTGACCTTCATTGTCTTCGTGACACCCTGAACCTGTTTCTGGGGACCGTTTAACTGTCGTCCAGGTCAGAGGAGCAATAGTGAGTATCGGTACCGACTGCTCATACCTTCAGCACTTGGCCCCTTTCGACAAGTATGTGTCGCACCCCTATAGTCTGTTTCCTTTCTTGATTAGTGTATTTTCCTCTCTGTGGTCAGGTGGCAGAATATGACTGACGCCTGACCTAGCACTCATCTAACGCCTCCAGCATTTTCTGGTCGTGTGTCTGCAAATCAGGGATTTAGCGCTACATTGCGAAAAAGTCCACACCATTTCCAGTTTCCGAGACCAAGCAGTCTTGTTGGAGATCGAAGGATGGATTCAACTGACTCTTCCGGTTATTATCAACCACTGGTGGAGCCGGTACCGATGGAAGGTTTCTTCAACAATATCATGGCGCAGCAATTCTCCTTTGTAGATGAGGCTACGTGAGACTCGTTGCTCATGTTGGTTTTGGGTTCCTGTGATACTAACGATATGCATAGATACCACATGGACAATTTTCGTGAGGACTACTCGTGCTCTGGATTGGTGAACGGTGACCTTGAAACTGTTGACCCGGGTTTTCCTGACAATCTGGCCCCCAAGCTAGGTGATGCGTTGCGAAGAGACGGTAAGCTATCCTTAACCCCGTTTCCCCCCCACCCCAGCCATAATCTACCCCTTTCGTTTCCTGACCAACCACCCAATTTTCTACCATCCATTTGCCCAGTTATATAAACAAAACAATGCAGGACCTCATAATATAATCCCTCTACTATTATGCATTTTCTACCCATTCGAAAACGAAGCTTCTAACGGTTCTACTCTAATCGAATAGGTATCCCAGACTTGGCCCCTTATCCTCCCGTAACAGAAAGTCTATCCGTTGCTTCCTCATCAAATACCTCCAGCTTGCAGCATAGTGCTACAGGAATGGCGCCAGCTGATTGTGACGAGCCCAACTCTACACCCAAACAGGCTGCTGAGAACCATCAGCCCGCGTCGCCAGACGCCCCCCTCTCCGTTAGCGAAAGCGCAGCTATCGCGCCATCCAATAACACGAATGGTACCGCGCGCGACCTAGAGAAAAGCCAATATGATCCAACTGATTCTGTGAATCTGGACTTCTTTCAACCGAAAGCTCCCGCTGAGACTTGTGAGCGCGAGACATGCCAGGAACCTGATTTCCGCTCTTGCCCCATCAATACTGGGGGGTTTTCTGATTTTGGAACAAAGGGGGATTATTCCCATCATCTGCCTTCTTATCCCTCTCCAGTTCGGAGCACTCCCTTCTCGACTAACACAGCTGGCAGTGAGGGTGCTGTTCCTGCTGCTGATCACCAACCAGAAACGATGAAGCGTGAAGCTCCTCTTGTCCCCACATCCCCAACATCCCCCGTCAGCCAGGGCGGACCAGATCCTGAGCTCCAATTCTCGTGTGCCGAAGAGGCGAACGCGTGGCGCGCCTTTGAAGTGCAAGTGGACTACGACCCTACGATTCCAAGAACCCCGGAGGCGAAACGTAAGATTGTCACCGAGATGCTCAAAGCGATGAAGAGTGTTGAGTATGCGCAAGACAATGAGGGCATGATCCGTCCATTTCGCGAACAGAAGCAAAGCCCGATCAGGATGGAGATTGTCTGCTGGAATATCCTGGTTTGTGAATAACATCTATTATTTGAGCAAATGATGCTGATACGTGTATTTTACAGGATTCCTGCATTAGTCGCCATGAGCATGGGCCACTGCTTGCCATTTATGACGGAAAGGCAAAGACTACCGGCCAAATCCCGACCTTCGGAGAGCGAATGGAGAAGATCATTGAGTGTCTTTGGGTATAACTTCATCTAGTCACGATGATATGTTTCCTACTAACTATTTCTACAGACCCAGAAAACCATTTGCAAGCATTTATTAGACGCGTATTACTTATTTACTTTCGTTGACGACCCTGTCTGCGCCAGAAATGTAAGTATCAAGCCTTTTTTTTTGTCTCAATAAAGGCCACACTGACGGTAAATTAGCGTGTCGTGGCGAATAAAAATCTCAACAAGCGCAAAGGAGAGGTTATGAACGCTGGAAAGAAGGCCCTGGGCCACTCCAGATCTAACTCCAAATCAACCCCTGCCAAGCGCACATCTGAGGCCCGTGAAGGCCTTTGTACTCCCTTCAGTACTCCGCGTAAGGAGACCCCAGCTATGGATAACAGCACCCCTACCACCATCAATAACACTGTGCGAAACATGACCCTGGACAGTAGCCCTCCTGTTCACTCACATGGGACACAGCAAATGCGATTTTCTAGCCCTGCGAAGCATTCCACTCAGGAGAATATGGCGCACCCCATGCACCATGGTATGTTTCCAATGGCTACGCATCCTCAATTGATAAATACCCCGGCTACTGGCCGAGCTTTCGGGCCCAACTCTATGGCTGCCAGTGGATTCGCAGGACACTGTCAACCAGTCTTTGGCTTCGGGCGCAACCAATCGCCCAATGCCATCCACGGCCTTGGGCAGAACCTGTCTATGTACAACAGGGGCCCTTATAACCGCGAAGAGATGACAGAGCAGTTCAGGCAGTGCGTCCCAGCTCAATTCCACCCTGCCATGTACTGTTCTCCTGCAGCGCTAAACCCCAACTATCGGGCGATGGGACCTGCTCCACATGCTTGCGCAAACTACCAACGTCCCACACCCTCCTCGCCTGCCCGTCAACAGTCACGCAATGCCCCATCTGCTGAAGCATCCTATGGACATAGTCGCAAGCGCTCCCAGGATGAAAGTGATGCTACGGCTTATGCCCTTTCTCCTCAAAAGAAGGCTCGGTGATTGCGAACCTTGAAACCCACGCAAAAGATGCGACTGCGTGCCATGGAATTTCTTTAGGTTTCTTTCTTCTTTTTAAAAGCCCCCAAGCCAATGGCCCATGATATCCCAGGATAAAGCTGTGTTGTTGTTTGTTGATGCAACAAACATGCCCAACAGCGCTCTTTTTCAAAACCATACCCCCTGCGGCCAAATTGATCGGAGCTCGCATATGTTTTATTTTATGCCAGTGGTTTTCCAGTTTTCTCTTTCTGCCGCTCTTTTCATAAGAGTTCTGTCATAGATTCTATTTAGTATAGAGCCCACCTCACCTCATGTTGGAATTTTCACACACCCAATCCAACATCGTGTATTTCTGAACCTCAGTTTCAGGAAGCTAACTACGGGACATGACAACTTCTTTTCGTTTTTTTTTTCGCTCAACTGACTTCTTCCTCGTTTCCGTCCTTCTCTTTTTGTTCTCTGCCATGGTCACTTTACCACTATTGGGAAGGATTCAATATCATCCATCGCCTTGGACGTCATCGGGCATAATACTGGATTTGAGAATAATGCCCCCTTAATAGCCAGGCCTTGCTTCTAGAAACTGACCCAGATTTATGTGCTTTGCCATGCTCCTGAAACGCGTGCCACCGTGTTTTGACTAACTAGCGTTGTTGTTAACTCCTGCAAACCGTCACCACCCTAATTGTTTTCTCTCCCAACTTCCCTTCGCGCCTAGTTTACAGTTCTTGGGCGTGCTCTTTGGGCATGTTCTCAACGATAGTTCTCCTTACGGGTTTAAGCTAGTATTTACCTTCCGCTCTCGGCAACGTTGTCGTTTGTTAAGAATTTGGGCTTTTAATTTTAGTTTTTTGTTCCATTTCGAGGGGATAGTTATATGCTATGGTGAGGATGGCTAAATTGTTACATTCTATCCACACTTGTAATGGCAGATTGTAATTATGAAGTGCGGGAAAGAAATATACAGTCAAAAAAAGAAAAAGAAAAAGAAAACTTCTCTGGTTTTGCTAGCCTTTGAATATATAGTACCTCAGCAGAAGATTTAGTTGATCCTGGATAAAGCGCGGTGGTGTGTACCAGCATGTCCTCCCGGAGGACGATAGGTAACGCTCTTCTATGTAGAGAAGGACCTACGTACGGTATTACTACAGCTGTCATGAGAATTCGCCTTGTAAACAATGCAGCTCTCGCGCCTCTGAAATAAACTGAAGATCTTATTCTATCAACGAAAGGCTCCATTTCCCAACGATGTATTTCGCAAAAAGACAGCAAGCATGAGAAGTGGCTCTGCGTGATAAAAACCTGCGTTGGTGCAGCAAGCCCGGATTTTTTCCTATAAATATCATGGCTTGAGCAAGTAGATATTCTCAGAGAACTCAATGACTATATATAATGTTCGACAAAATGAATCCTTCTATTTTAAAACTCCTCCTCTTTAACGCCCCATTTACAAACGCCCATTTACAAACGCCCATTTACAAACACCACGCGTACCTTTATTTTTCAAATGACATGTTATAACCGCCCGACTTCTCGTCCTTCACGAACTTGAAATTATCCGTCGATAGTCCAAAAGGCTTCAAGATCCCGTTCCCGAGCTAAGGTACGACATTCGTAAGTAATGGGTAACTATAGGAATAACAACAACAACAACAACAAGAAGAAGAAGAAGAAGAAGAAGAAGGCAGGAAGGATAAAAAGGAACGGTTGCACAACTCACATCCTTAAGCTTCCCCATCATATCCGCAACCTCCTTCTCTCTCGCCGCATTCACCAAACCAGGCAACTCCCTCAGCGCCTTTCGCACAACCCGGTCATCCTGCACCGGCAAATTCCCCATTGCAAGCAGCTCCTTATAATCCTCCTCCGCACCCTGTAGATTCGCCCACCCACCCAACTCCATCCTAGCCCTGGCCCGCCTCATGAGTGCCTTGGCGCGTATACGCTGGATATCCTCTTTCCTTTTGTCCTCCTCCTGGAGTTTTTTCAACTGTGCCTCTTCCGACTCTTCGTCCCCGGAACCATCTAGTAGCTCTACCACGTCATTACTATCCGCACTGGCACTAGCATTGGTACTGGCTCCATCACCCACGCCCTCCCCAGACGCTGACTCCTTTCCCTTTCGTGGTTGGGGTGGCAACGCTCTATCTAGGCGGTCAATACTAGCCGTGGCTGCCTCGACGGCAGCTTTCCAGTCCTCCAGCTTCAAGTGGCATGCGGAAATATTGCTACGGAGGACGGCGATTTCGTAGTCTAGATAGTTTGGGCAAAAGGAGAGGGCGCGGTCGTAGGTTGTGATGGCTTCTGAGTAGCGGGCGGAGGAGAATAGCTTGTTCGCCTCGGACTTATGGGTGTTGGATTGGCTTAGGAGGTCCTATATCATATACTGAATTAGCTTATTTATCTAGGACAGCTATGAGCCCCCGTTGAGAGGTTTCATAAAGACAGTGTTTGGCCTTTGCAGTGAGGGAGGGTACAGACTGCTTCTTCTTCAGCGGGGTAGCGGGCGTCGTGGAATACTTCTTCCTTGTCGCTGTCGGATAAAGATGAACCAGTCATTCTTTCGAGCGGATTCAAGAGTGTTTTTTCCCCTTGTTTATAGATGTTGAAAAAGAGATACGGTAGCTAAGGATGGTGAAAGCTCTTTGTTGGCAAAACTTTCCTTTTCCATAGTTACTAAGTTACTAACTCGAGCCCTGTCGTTAGTTAAATATTTAAATATTTATAATATTTAACTAACTTTAAAGTCGTCCCCCGCCTTTATCTATCAAGGATTCACTTCAGAACATATCAACATCTCGCCATTGAATCCACCTATTACTCTGTCAAGAGAAGAACTGCCTGTATTTAGACACAGCCATGGCCTCTGCGCATAAACAGTATGTGTGTGTTCTTCAATTTATAACTATGTAGAGCAGCAACTGGGCTGACCCATTTCTCAAAAGACCACCTCCCATTCGGGCCTGTCTATTCGACATGGATGGCCTTCTTATCGATTCAGAGGACATTTATTCGCTCGTGATAAATAAGATTCTGTCTGAGTATGGCAGGCCGACGATGCCGTGGTCTATTAAGGCGCAGTTACAAGGCCGTCCAGCTCCACAGGTATAAATAATCTATCTATAGCTTCATCCATGCTGATTATATAGCATATAAACTAATTCAAAATCTTCCTCCCAAATCCAGGCCGGAAAGATATTCCATGACTGGGCCCAATTGCCCATCCCCAAGGACCAATTCCATGAAAAACAAGCCGCACTCCAGAAAATCCATTTCCCGACCACAAAGCCATTACCAGGCGTAGTTACTCTGCTCTCGGATCTTGCTGGGACAGCGAAGACCTCCTCCCCAGTCCATATCGCCCTGGCCACGTCATCGACGTCCAAGAACTATGCCCTGAAAACCGCTCATTTGGCAGGTCTCTTCTCTGTATTCCCGGAATCAAGACTGATCCGAGGTGACAATCCCCGTATCGGCGCGGGGAGAGGGAAGCCGTTACCGGACATCTACCTGCTGGCACTCGAAACCATCAATGCCGAAATTCGAGCGGCAAATAACGGAGAACCCGAAATTAAACCAGAAGAATGTCTCGTGTTTGAAGATTCTGTTCCGGGCGTCGAGGCTGGGCGGAGGGCGGGGATGCAGGTAGTCTGGGTTCCCCATGCCGGACTGCTTGAGGAATATCGCGGGAAGGAAGACCTGGTCTTAGCTGGTTTGACAGGAGAGCATAAGGATGTTGATGTGGATCATGAAATACCGGAAGACCTTGAGGGACTCGATACATGGCGAGGCCGTGGATCTGGGAAGACCGGCGAGGTTGGTGATGGGTGGGCCCATTTGCTGGCAAGCTTGGAGGACTTCCCGTATGAGAAGTTTGGAATAAAGATCCAGCGCGAGAGCTTGTCGAACTAACGCTTAACTACCGATCGGTTGGCTGTGAACTAGATTTTTATCTTTCTGTGGTTAGGGGTTGCTGGAGCCCCAAGACCAGAGATTTCTGATAGCCTGCCACATGAAAGTACACAACGGATACCCGCAATCATAGAGAGGGCGCCTCTTTATGGATATAACCACTTTTAGCATTTTTAGCATTCTCAACCAGGTACGATCCATGATATGATCGATATATCATCGGCATCTTCAGCGAGCCGAGTTGCTTTTCAATTTGGAAGTCCTCCTCATAAGTATCTGCCAGGTTAAGAAGAATCCATCTCATTCAAATCGCCACTATACGGGTGCAAGTATATGTTAGATCATTACACAAGATTCACAGTTTAGAGCTCATACATTGTGTCCTCGTACCTCCTGAACTACTATCATCAGCCAGCAAAGATGCAAAGGCCTCAGCCAAGCTGGCCGCGAGTGCCGTCCTGCCATCCACCCTCTCCCCGATCAGCTCGCCCACATCATCAATAATCTCCTGTTCTAGCTTGCCAGTAGGTAGACGTTGGTATCGTAGCTAAAGACTGGATAACCACTTCGTGAAGACAAGGACCATAGAAGATAATTTCACGCTTGAGCTAGCAACGTTCCCATCCATTTATTAGAGAACATATGCAAAATCACACCCATAAGTAGTAGAGACAGTTTAGTCAATATAATAGCTACCTGTATCAAATACCGAGATAGAATGCTCAACCTCTCCATCCACTAGAGACACTCCATTCTGCGCTTGAGTTCCCCACGGGCCCCCCCCCCCCCCCCCGCCTTCCAGACATATAATGGAGTCAGCATATCCGTGAACAGTTTGATAGCAGCATTATCCATGAATTGATCGCGATGCCAGGGCCGCGTTGGGTACTCTTTACATGCAGTCAGCAACGCAACACGTATGGGCCTAGTACTGTCGGTAGCGAAGGTCCCAAGAAAAAGTGCTCCGCAGCAGCGCATAACCATTAAACACGACCAATTTAGCGAGCGGGTGACGTTTGTGATCCCCCTCTATCATCTCACGCAACCTATTTGGTAAGAGCTGGCAACATCTGGCAATTGACGTCTCCGCTTGCTGGGTGCAAACAGCGTGCAGTTCGCCTTAGATTATATTATTAATATTCCCCGAGAAACCCTGCGGCGAGAAGGGTATTATGCACTGTCTGAGATTCCAGACATATATATTCACTGCGTGCGTAGCAGTGGTGATGTAAAAATTGGATAAGCTCAACTTTCTGTTCAGTTCGTTCCATCCTCTGAGTCCCCTGGCCGGAAGTCAAAGGGGGTTATCACATCTTTTAACTCCAAGCGGGGGAGTTGAGCAGTCGTTGAATTTTGCAGGTCAAGCCATTGCCTCTCATCGGGTGCTTCCCATAGCGCATCTGCACTTGGTAATTCGAGCCCAAGCACCTGTGCTGTCGATATACATGGCGCAATATCGTAAATAGTTGTCAGGAGGCTGCTCATGATGAACATGGAAAATAGCAAATGCTTTGAGGTTTCGTACTCAATCCACGCCTTCCACGATTTGCCACTCCTCCGCTCCCTGTTAGACACCAGAGAAATTTCCCCGAGAGCGCCAAAGATTCGAATCAAAGGACGTCAAAGTAATTAGTTTCTTTTCTTCTCTTTTTTTATTTTCTGAAAAGCAAAGTAATCAGACCAGAGCAAAAGCAAAGCCAAACGGCGAAATCAGCAATTAGGGTTTTGCGGCTGTGGAATGTGGAGAAATAAGCTTTTCGGCATTGTTTGGGGGTCGGCCCGAAGAAGCCGAGCCGATGATGAGATCTTTTTGACAGGCAACAGGAGCATCTACCACTAGGGACGGGACATGGTCCTTTGAATGCCGTCAATGTTTCAACATGGGGTCCACTTGTGCTCGACGAATTTGCAGAATCGAGGAGGTGATGATCGGCTTCCCCACCCCACCCCTTACTTCAATCAACGAATTTGACTCTTCCACCAACTTACAAGGGCAACCCACATCCCATTAATTGAATTCACCACATGAGCATTACACGGAGTCCTCGCAACGTACGTATAATTTTACAATCAAGCACACTCGCAAAAAGTATGCGCACACCCATTTCTTCTCCGAAAAGACAAATATGAACAAGTGGAGAGTGTCTTTTATCTAGTAGTTAACATATGTACATGTCTATAAGCTCCACTCGCATGGAGCACGTGCTGTTGTAGAAGTACTTTCAATTAACTGGTCTTATCAATCTGCCAGTCATTTTCCGTGTGAATAACGTCGGATAAAATCGTACGAAGCATTCAGCGCTTGCGTTCTCAGATTTTCGTCAATTGCGAATGATGGAACTTGAAAAAAAAAAAGAAAAAAGAAAAAGCAGCAAATGAAATAAAAGTAATGAGTAGCCATCTCCGTAAAATGGTCCGCCAGAGACTAAATGATATATAACAAGAAATACATGCTGTGCAAAAGGGAAAAAGAGAGAACGGCGAGGAGACAGGCAAAGCAAACTTACAATCTAACCAGCCATGAAGCATCTTATCAAACACTATGCCTTCAACCTCATAATTGCCCGATGGGGTATCTGCGCTATTATTACCCCGTTGGGAATTCAACATCACCACTTCATTCTTCAGACGGTCTACAAAGGTCGTCACCTCATGCAGAAGAATATCCGCGCCGGCAATAATAAACAGCATTTTCTGCGGAAGAGTGCGGATGTCAGCTAAAATGGGATTTAAGAGAGAGTCTTCGGATCTTTGGGACCGTGCAGATTCGGCGTAGGCATTGAAGAGAGGAGCTATGAAGACCAGAGGGTCTGTCTTTGTTTGGAAAGGCGGGGCGGTCGTGGTTTTTCCGATGGAGGGATACGGAGGTCGACCTAATGTGAAGGAAAGATAAAAAAAAAAACAGAGGAGAATTATTTACAAGTTAGATCTTCTAACGCCAATGCCGTCGAGCGCTTGAAAACGAAGGAGGGTGAGAGGAGAGATGGGCTGATCTAGTTCTGACAAACTCGACTTTTGGTGGGGTCTGGGTGAAGACAAAAGAGAGGGAGAGGAGGGTTGAGTACGAACAGGAGTTGTCGATCATTAGTGTGCTCTCAGCACATTTCAGAAGTATATTAACTGAGCACTTTAAGACTTTCTTGATGAATTTGTATCTGCTTATCTAGATAACATTCTCATCTTCACTGATGAATTCAGAAAGAAACATCAAGAGCATGTGCAAAGAGTATTACAATGACTACAAGAACCAGAACTATTAATTAATATTGACAAGTGTGATTTCAAAGTCAAGAGTACTAAGTACTTAGGTTTCATTATAGAAGCTGGCAAGAGAATCTGAATAAATCCTGAGAAGGTCTCTGCTATTCTTGAATAAAAGGCTTCATACACTGTGAAAGATGTATGAAGCTTCATCAGATTTACTAACTTCTATCAGCAATTTATATGAAACTTCTCAGATATCATGAGATTACTTACAGATCTTACTAAGAAGGACTCAGTATTTCAATAATCAGCAGACACTGAAGCTGCATTTATACAGATAAAGAAGATGTTCATTAATATCTCTCTGCTGATAACATTCAATTCTGATTGCAAGATAGTTGTTAAGGCTGATTTCTCTGACTATATAACAGAAGAAGTAATATTATAATATGATGATGAAGATGTTCTATAATCATGTCTCTTTATATCTAAGAAACTGAGTCCTGCTGAATGCAATTATAAGATCTATGATAAGAAACTTCTCATAATTATACACTGTTTAGAAGAATGAAACTCTGAACTATAAAGTGTCTCTGAATTTGAGATAATCACAGATTATAAAAATCTTAAATACTTTATAACTATCTATAAACTCACTGAATAACAGATGTAATGATCTGAGTTTCTAAGCTGCTTTCATTTTATAATACACTATCATCTCAGCAGTCAGAACTTGATAACAGACACTCTCTCACAATGAGAACAAGATATGTCATTTGATGTGACAGACATATACTGAATAAACTGAGAACATCAGCTCTTAGATCTGAAAATATTGATCAATCAAGATAGAATAACTCATGATACTATATATACTTCTTCAATTAGAACACTCTCTCTTCAAACTGATACTAATATTGATATCTTCACTTTCTCTACACTGAATAAACTGTGATATACAGCAGCTCAGACTGATGAACTTCTTCAGACTCTTATCAAAGTAGTATACAAGAAACACTCTGATTCTTCTCAGAACTACATATAAGAACTGATATCTCAGAATGTTCAATCAATGATAATAATACTCTATAATTCTGTGAATAACACTGAGTCTCTCACTTTAAACTCTTATACACTCAGATAATACAAGAGATGCATGATATATATATAACTAATTATTCAGATTATAAATAACTATATAGAATGATCTTCTGAGAGTTCTATTAATCTGAGATATTAAATAGTATCAGATACTTCATCTGAAACTGTAACTACTATTCTTTCATTATTTTATAAAAGAACTGTAGAAAAGATCTACTGAAATCACTTAATATTTCTAATAGAATCTGATGAGATGTAGTAATTAACTTCACTGTTAATCTATCTAAGAGTAAGAATTGTAGAAACATTCTGATCATTGTAAATTAATTAAGCAAAGATATAATATTGAAATCTTATAATAAGATAAATGCTAAATAAGTTACTGAAGCTTTTCTACAGAGTCTGTTCTATCAGATATATGAATTACTGAGATTTATAGTATCAGATTAGAGCTGTCAATTCATAAGCACTTTCTGAACTAGAATCTGTCAAGTTCTCAAGATTACATATCATCTGTCAACTATTTATCATCTCAAGACTGATAATGCATCAGAATGAATAATTCAGACTGTAAAGAATTATCTTTATAAGTTCTGCAATCACTTATAAGATGATTGATATGATCTTCTTCTACATACAGAGATCACTATTAACAGTCAAGATGTTATTTTAACAGATGTAAGCTTATTCTTTCTTACATACAGATATTATATAAAAGTGTTGAATCTTCTAGAGATTATACAGTTCACACTGAATCTCTGCAGTTCAATTCAGATCACTGATAATATAGTAACAAAGCTCTGAGATGTCTGTGATTGAGCAGAGATCTTCATGACAACTGTAAAACAAGATTAAGAGAATCAAATCAATGTTCACTGAGACTCTGCTGAATAATATAAGATAGAAGATCTGATATGATTGAATCTTAAGAACATATGAATTATATATTCATCTCATATGCTAGATTATTACCATATCAGGTATAAAGTAATAGAAGTTCTAGATAGTCACAACTACTGTCTTAACACATTATCAGAGATTTATAATGTATTTCATATAAGCTTGCTCTGTCACACTGTCATCAATCTGTTCTCTTCTTAACTAACTTTCAACTAGACTGACCGCCGGAATCATGAATTTCACATTTGATCTCATTTAGTCTAGTCTCATACATTTCTTGATGTGAATCCCGCTAAGACTGGCTATTAAAAAAACATGTAAAGTAACTATATATCAGATCTTAAAATGAAACCATGACTTGAAAAAAATGAGAAAGTGATCTCATTTAATCTCATTTAGTCTTATTCTTAGCATAAAGTTACTATTTTTAGACATTTTAAGGTTTTTTTTAGACTATTTTTAATTTTTTAAAAAGTAATGCTTTTTGATAATGCTCAAATGAGATTTAAAGTCATTTAAAGCAATAAAAATAATTTAAATTGAGAAGTGAAAATCATAGTCTTATTTAAAAAATATGACAAGAGTAGATAGTAAGTCTCACTGAGACAGTATAAGACTACAATCTAATGATAAAACTGTGTAATGAGATCAGTTGAATTGATAATAAGACTATTAAAAAATCTGGTTCTGGTCTCAGACACGGTCACACGGTCAGTCTACTTTCAACTGACAACTGTCAGAGATCATAGAAGAAGATAATGAACTTGAGTAAGAGATTGAAGATATTCTCAATGAGAGATCACACAGCTGTAACTGATAATATCTTGTGAAATGAGTCAGTTACAATCAATCAACCTGAACTCTGAGTTCTGTATTATTTGAAACAGCAGCTCTTGATCAATGAGAACTGCTTCTAAAAAGAGAGGACTAATATAGTGAGCTGCGCTTAATCAATTATATAGACTATTTCATTACACTTCACAGATTTCAATCACTTAATTCTTGAATATATACACTCTGATTCTCAGTTATTCTCAATCACTGATTCTCAGCTGCTATAAATGTGTACACTTCAATTCTCAGCCATTCTCAATCATCACTCCGATTCTCAGCCATTCTCAATTGCTGATTCTCAGCTGCTATAAACATGTGTATATTCTTCCGCTCTGAAGCTTCATCACGTACATCATCACATATGTATATAAATATTCATCTTAATCACTGATTCTCACACTTTCTCTTTCTTTCCTTCTTTAATATTTTTATCTTTATTATATAAGACCTATAATATTATACTGATCTATTTAGCGTAGACCTCTTACAAATAATAAGATTTAGTCATTATATAGTCTTTTATATATAATGAGTATTCACTGAGTAATCAGTGAATATCTTACTAAGATAAAACTAATCAGTTTATAGAGAGAGAATCTGATATAATATATATTTTATAAATTTTATTTATATTTTTAAAAAAATTTAATTATATTTACTAACACTTTTAAAACTACTTCAGCAGTGTATATTTAAATTAATATAAGTTTTATAAAATTTAATATAAGAAATAAATTAATATCACTATTAATTTTCAGTTAATATTAAAAAACATCTTTATATTAAGAAAAATATTACTCTGAACAGAGAGATTTTTTTTAATAAAAAATATAAATTTTCAAATTGCTTTAAATAATAAGAGAAAATAAAATGAAAGAAATAATATAAAAAAAATATTTAAATAATATTTAATACTGTGAGAAAATTAAAACTGTAGCTATAGTTAAATATTTTATAAAAAAATAATAATAAAATAAATAAAAGCTTTAGCTATAAAAAGAGAAGAAAAAATATACTGTTAAATATTATAAAACATAATTAATTAAACAGATATTTATAAAAACTTTTATAAAAACTTGTAAAAAAATTAATAATAAGTTTAAAATATTATAAAAGCTTTATATAATTTTCTGAAAGTAATAATAAATATTATATATAGATCTTTTTAATGAAATTAAATAATATTTTTCTTCTGATATCTTCTACACTTTAATCTGATTTAATTATTTTAAAATCATAAGTTTTATATTTTAGATAAATTATTAAGTAAAGCAATTATTCTCTGAATTAATTATATATATGTATTGTGCATATAATTTTAATCTTTAATAAATAATATTAATATTTTATTGTGATATACTATAGTTGAAAATTAACAGCTCTATAGAGTGCTTTTTGAAGTTCATTAAGTGAATGAGTTCATTGTGATGACTCTAGACTGACTGATAAAATTATAAATTTTATATTTAATTTCATTTGATCTGATCTCATACATTTCTTGATGTGAGTCTTATCAGAATCAAGTCTTAAAAAAATCTGAAAATGAATCATTTCTGAGAGAAATGACATGAAAAATGATCAGATTTAATTCAAGAACAGTGAAATAAGAGTAATTTCTCAGAATAAACTATAAAAGATAATCATTCTTTCAAAATCAGAATGAGACTGAGACTGAAGATTAAAATCAGTCTCATTCAATTTATTCAGTGATTACTTATATAATCAAAATTTAATAATAATTATTAATAATACTTATGAAATAACTAAATATATTCTTGTATAAGTTTATTCTTTACTTTCTTATAAAAACTACACTTCTCTGATATACTGTGATCAGAGGTATTAAACTGTCTGATAATTTCATATTTTATAATTATAAGTTTCTTAATTATTTCTTTTTATAATTGTCTCTGATAATAGTGATAAATATCTTAACTTGAGTTAAACTTTCACTTCATTCTTATCTGTGTCAATGAAGTTGTCAGAATATCATATATTATCAGTACAACAGTTAAATATATACT